ATTAACTCTTAATACAAATTCCATTGGAAAGCGCAAAATATGATGGTAAGTTTCATTGAAAATGCAAGAGCCTTACAATTTTTTAGAGGACTGCCACACTTAAAATTGTTGTTAAGACGATTAGACTAGTTGAAAGGCTTTGTTCCATTTGTTTTGTAGAAGGCAATTAGCTACTCTTACTAGGAACAACAAGCTAGACTATATTAGAATGGATTATATTTACTCTTTCCTCGAGTGAAAAGAACAGTCCTCATTTATTAGATTTGAAGCGATGACTTGAATTTCTTCTCACAATATTTAAAATGTGTTACTTTTTAGTTAAGTGGGTCCATTTGATTCAATTCACAATTAACCGACTACGACGTGATACTAATGCATTTATAAATGTATACATTAATATAGTAAACTATATCATTTGGATATTAGTTACAATACGGCGAAACTAAGTGGTTTGAATGTAGAGAAACTAAAAAATGAATTTTTAGGTTGTACACTTAATTTTCTTAGGATTCAATGAGAGGTTGAGCACCAAGCTATGGGTTTGAGTCTTTCAATCTCGACGAATTTCATAAATACATCAATTCATCTTGAATCATGCTCATAACGTAAAATGTCACTCTCAGTAAATCTCCAATAAGATCCACAAAAAACTGAAAACAGGACAGGAGCCTACAACACAAGATATGCTATGTGGACTGGCTTTCGGTGGACAAGTAAACAAAGTGCTTTGCACCTGCAATAATACACATGAAATTATATCTGGAGCCCTTAGTTCGACTGGACTGTAGGCTTGGACCACAGCCTTCCCAATAATATCCACTGGAGCATTGCCATGCCTATCAAATTATTTACTAAATTTTGTATACCAAAGCAGTGGTTGAATTAGTGGTCCTATCATCCGAGCTAATGGTCTAGTAGTAAGTCGTACCCATATGAGGTTATCCCTAACTCCTATATGGTTATCAAGCAGGTTTTGACCCACAGAAATAACGCAGTTTACTGCTTGTCTTTGGTGGTGGTCTTGTAGTGATAAAATGTCCTTCCGGATTAGTAATTACAAATCTTATGATTCAAATCAGATATTCCACAATAAAGAAACCCTCGTGATCATGTAATTGTAACCCCTCTTTCCACCTTGAGTTTTGCTATTGAAATCATATTTTGGCACCAAATTCTATATTATTCTATTCACCAAATAATATATCATTATGAACAAAAGCGTATTGAGCCAGTAGTAAGTGTCTTTTTCACTTCCTCCACTGATGCTAGGTTCAAGTCTCACTAGCTCAATGATTGAGACATTGGGGATTTGGATGATATAAACTACAGTTTTCCTCAGTAGGCTACCATATCTCAAACATTCTGTGACAATGGTCCCTACGAACTGTAATCAAATCACATTCAATAAAATTATTGAATTTTTAATTTTTTTTTTGAGCTTTCTTGATTTCTTGCAATGTCGAGAACAACTGGAGTCTTGTTCACAACTAAATCATCCAACAAATGATAGATTAAAGGAATGAGATCGCTTTACTAATCAGTGATTCCCGAGCCTACCAAACACTTGCGACATTGAAATAGGGGATTGATTGATCAGCTTTCTAGTATGCCAACTTGTGCTCCTTTTAAATCCCATTTTTTCGTCAATTGGTTGGGTGAGTCTAGAGTTTCTTATTCACACTGAAAGCGTAATGGAAGAAGAGGGAGAAAAGGCACAGCCAACCCCACTAACACCCCATGTTTCCAATCAGGGCAGCACAACAACGTAAACTGAGGTCCTAGACAAAAAATTACACCAACTTTATTAATATTTTGTGTATTAATATATGTATTTTTTTAATTATTATAATGTAATTTTTTATTTATTTAAAAATTATTTTTCTTTTTTTTTTTTAGATACAAAACTGTTGATCTAAGTTCTTATATTTTTATTTATTACATGATTTGGTTCTTCACTAATTGAATCATCACTTACAGTTTTACTAATATTATTTTTTTTATCACTGAACCCTTTTTTAGATTGAATGAATTCTTCTTCCAGAGTCATATCTTCAAGTAGACATATTAATGATAAAATGTTAATTTTCAAATAAAACAACACAATTTTGTAATTGTTAGATTGAAATAAAATAAAGATTTACGGTTATGAACACTGCTAAAACTCTGGACCGGCCCTCTTTCCAACCCAAAAGGAATAGAAAATGAAGCAAATGCATAACCCGCTTTAATTCCCCAAAAATTGTTCCCATTCAAAAACATTTTCTTCTACATACAACCCTCACAATTTGATCAAAACACTTCTCAACACCAAACAACTCTAATAATCTACTCCTACCTCTCTCTTCTCCCTTCTCTATCCATTTATTTTAATTTTAAAATATATAATTAAAAATATATATATATTTAATATATTAACATTGAATAATCAAAACTCAATCTTTGATATTACCGTCGTTAGTCATATATTTTTTTTTTGGGTCCAACCATCCGGTATCCAGAAGCCATAACAAGCTCTAACTAAATTAGATTTGAGCCGGATAGAACCACAAGGACGTTAAAGCTCTTCCTACCAAACGTAACTGCATTCCCAAATCTCAAACCAAAGACCTTGGTTAAGCTAGAACAGCCCCTCACTAGCTGATCTACGCGCTAGGTGATGTCGTTAGTCGTATATGCGCTTGTTTGGTTGTCATATTAGAAATTGATAGATTAAATAAAATAATACAGTCTAATACAATACAAAAAGACAAAAGGCAAGATTAAAAAGAATATTATAATAATACATAATTTTATCTAATATTTCATAATACACGATATAAACATTGGATAATAATTATTTAATTTCAATCAGTTATTTATTTATAGAATTATTTCACCGTATTAATGTTGAATTAACAAAAATACCTCAATCAGTGTTTATTATATTGATGACAACTTAATTTTATCAATTAAATGATATACTATAATAGTATATGTGTAAAATAATACATTTGAGTTACATTATAATACCACCTATTTTAGTGGTATTAAAATACCTCCATAATATAGATCTATCGTATAAAAAATATACATATACAATTAATACATATTTTTTAAATTAATACGGTATCAAATTTACTTACTAAACAAAGTATTAAGTCTAATTAAATAAAAAATAATACAATATAATATTTAATCCCATCCTGATACATTTACCAAACAAACCCTATATGGATTCAAAGACTCCTGCTCTCCCAACTAGATTTAGTTCCTACGTTGCACCACGGAGTTTACCACATAGACCGAACAAGAGCTTCATTATACGAGGTCCCCAAACAAGGTTTATATCTGAGAATTACTGAATCACAGATCCAGGCATATCAGAGCAGATATACTCCTAAATAAAAGCATAGGGAAAAAAACCAATCCACTGAAAAAGTGCAATGCCTAAGAAAGGCTGTTTATCCACAAGGAACAAGTGAAAAGTATTATACTTTGGCAACTCAGACCATTAGAACTAATGCAGACAGTCATTATAGATAGCATGGTGACCAAACATAAAATGCAACAAGCGAGTAGGCAGATTCACATCCATAAAACTGAGAATGCAATCCAAAAATGATAATTTGGGATTTAGACACAAAGATCACGTCCACCAGCATGGAATAAGATAGGGAACTAGGGAAGGCTAACGCAACTCGATTTCCAAAACAGAATCCCCTGTTGATATTGTTTCATCAGATGGTTTCCACCCACAACACCAGTCTCACCTAACAAATCTTAGGATCATCACCTTCAATTTTCATGAAAGGACCTCAGCACCGAGGACCCTACTACAATATTCACCAAAAACACTAAAAGAACTTATTGACACCACCACTAGCATCATTTTCACCATTTCACTAATCATATTGTTGTGTAATCTACTGCACTCGTTAACAACTTTCTAGTCATATACCCTAAATTAGAATTTTCAAGTCCAGATGATAAGTACCATACCAACAATTTCCATTACTAAACTCGTGGTTCAAGGTGGCGTCGTTGAGGCATCGGCCATCGATTCAGAGGGTTTTGAGACACATCGATCGCAGTGTAGTATCAGACAATACGACCTAAAACAAAAATGGTGAACATAACGAGCGATTCAAGCCATTTCACGGTGTCACGAAACTGTATAGGTCAATTCGGTGACGATAACTCGACGACTCGGACAACTCAGCCGTGCAAGACTATGGGTTTACACGTAACGATATTGACTCGGGACGTGCCGAGTTGGATACAACTCAACCGACTCATATCGAAATTACGTGATACTTTGAACCATGATTTAACTGCTACACTTCCCATTTTGTGACTCAACTTAAATACAAGCCAAGTTCTAGTAAAAAGCTTCACATGTTTTCAGTGCAAAACAAAGCTACCAGCTTCCATTTCCAAGCCAACATTCAAACAGAACTGCACAACTGGCTCAGCAATCCATCACTACCCCATGTTTTCCTCGTATTAATACAATTAAACAACCAGACGATGTTCAAATATGAAACACTAGTATAGCCAAACGAACATTAAGATAGACAAACACAATCTATCTCATGTCCATCACAAAACTCTCAATCACTAGACCTATCATCTATGTATCTTAGAAAAAATTGCAGAAACATCAAGTACAACCAAATTCACTACACAGGCCTACGAGTTGAGCACAAATCTGTGCCCATCCATGAAATCACATTAAAAAGGAATTAGAAATTCTAGATTAATCAACAAGAACAATGAACACGGACACACACATCTACATGTCTATATGTATGTATAATAAGATTCACAGCATTTCCAAGTAATATATCAAAAATAGGAAAATTGGCAGATCCAAGCATATATAAATGAAGTTGATATTAATTAAAGCCAAAACATAGCATCTCCAAAACAAAACTCCAGTACTACAGGGTCCACATTAACCATCAAAACACAGTAAACCTTCAATTTCCAAATTAACAAAATCAAATAACAAGAAAACAAACCTAAGCGGTGAGTACAACAGCACCACCGGCCTCCTTAATCTTCTTCTCAGCGATCTTCGAAATGAGCTTCGCCTTCACCACAACCGGCTGATCACATGGCAAAACTCCCTTTCCAAGAACCTTGAAGTACCCAAACTGGGTCACATCGATCATCGGAGCATTGGTTTTGTTGGCCTTGTCCTTCACGTCCTGAGGGACCATCGACCAGAGCTTGTCGATGTTGACGGTGGGGCAGAAGAACTTGTTGCGAAGCTTGTGGAAATACCTCATGCCGACCTTCCCGAAGTAACCTGGATGGTACTTGTCGAAGAGGATTCGGTGGTGGTGCATACCTCCGGCGTTACCGCGACCTCCGGGATGTTTCCGGTGCTTTCCGATACGGCCGTGACCGGCGCTCACGTGGCCTCGCTTCTTGCGGTTCTTCTTGAAGCGGGTCGTCATTTCTCTCTCTCTCTCTCTCTCTCTCTCTGACGCTCCGGTGGGAAGTTGTGGATGGGGGTGGAGCGGCGGAGGAGAACTAGGGTTTTGGTGAATTTATACGTGAGGATGAGCAGGGAATTGTATGGGCTGTGGTTGTTTTACTATTTTGCCCTTGTGTTTGGGAAAAATATCAGGAAAACCTTGCACAAAGTTTTGATGGAGTTTCCTGTTTATGGATCTGGTCAGTAGCAACGGGCTCCACACAGTCCGAATATTGGCCAGTAGACCGCCCCGGAAGAAAAACTTCTTCAGCCAATTTTTCTTTTTTTCTTATTGAGATATGTTTGGTATACCTAATTTAATAACCTTATTTAGTGATACGATGGATCATAGTCATTGAATTAATAATAAATCTCAACTAATATGGGTCTACTGTCAACTTAATGACACAGAATGATAAAATAAACAAATAAAGTTTATATAACATTACTCTTTCTTTTTACTTACTCAATTAAGAAAGTTTTTGTTCTTGTTATTTTATTTTCTCATTACTTTCTTCATGTTCATCTTTCCTCAATCAAAAGTAAAAATTACATTTTTTTTGGAATAATGTTTACATAAATTGATCATCTTAAGACATGAGTATAACTCTCTTTCTGAGTTGTTTCAACTCTTCGTTCTTTCGTGCCATGTGAACAAACAAAAAAAAGATGATCGTCTTAGCAGAAGGAGAAAGACTTGCAACAACATAGACTATTAACCCTCTTCTTGTTTTTAGCTGTCTATTACAAGTTCGAGAAGTCTCCTCAATATAAGAGATCCCTGAAAATAGAGAAGAACAAGCAGGTGTTTTGCAAGAGCCTCCCCCCTCTTCCCAATCAAGATAGTTGGGTTTTTGTCCTCCATACTAACTTCAATGTAAATAGAAAGCACAAAATTTTATGTGAAATTAATTGGATATCACACGGGAGAATTCCTACAATGAATAAAGGTAGTGATCCTCTCGATGATGAAATTGAAACAACCAAAAGGTCATAAAAAGGGTCGGGTGAATATCTGGTTTATCCCCTCTAAAACTTAAGTCAGTAGACGTTTGGAGGCTTGAACACAATATTTCTTTTTCTCAGTTTAATTTTCGTACCTTTGTTCATATTTTTTAGGAGTATTTATATCTGGATTCGCAATGAGTGTAAGTTTGAAGTCTCATCTCAACATTGAATGACTTACACTATTATCCATGCGTAATGAGTGTTCTCCACTCAGATTCTGGTGACTGGTTCACTTGGGCGATAGGTTGACTGCTCGGGGCATACCGAGCACTTATGATTCTATACCCGATCATTTAAGTCTATTTGATCAACGTTTGACACCTGCTCCCGAGTGTTTAATGCTCGGAGAACAGTACCTCGAGTTTTCCCGAAGACATCTAGTCAGCGCAATGATCATTAATACTTCGCTATTATGACTGTCAGTTTGGATCTCGAGGACACAGAGACTCATTAATAGCCATGTCAATCACTTAAGTCATCATTAATGGGCTGTCATATTTCCTTAAATGCTGGTCTCAGCTTGTGTACATTACTCATCCGAGCCATTACTCCTCAGCGTCATCCCCCCGGCGTCTTTTGAGTTCCATAACAGTTATAACTATTCACGTGTCAGTTTAAGGGTTGTTGAGCCGCCTAAAGTCCCGTCAACTGCCCCCAACCTCCATTTTCTTTGCGACGTGGGACAAGTGGCATAAGGAGAATGGAGTTTTGCTAAACAAGCTTGGATTATAGGAATGGTTACTTGCACGTCCGATGTTGTTTTTTTCAAATTTCCAATTGATGACCTGCCTTTTCGATTTTCGCCCCCTACTGCCGGGTATAAATAGGAGATTGCTTGGCTAGGTACAGATTTTGCATCCTCGAACTTTCTCCTAGCAATCAATTCCCAAGCAGTCTTCTATAGTCTCCCGAACACCCGTTCTTACTCCCCCCAAGCACTCTTCTTAAAGATCTTTAGCCTATAAGTACTCTCCTTCCCATGATCTTTCTCCTTCATCTTTCCATCCTTCTTCTACATTTCTTCTAGATTTCGTACATGGATAGAATACAAAGAACTGTGGTGAGAGAACCTATTAGGACTAGGGACAGTGGTAGGTTGAGGAAGACCGAAGTAAAAAACACCAATATTCAAGTTTTTAGGGCTGGGTACCACATTCCCAAACTCATTTACATTTTTGTCTTTGATCCTGAGTTTCATAGGATTGATATAGGGAATGTAGAACTTATGCCCTTTTTTACCAAAGTCATTATGGAGGGGGGAGTTACGTTCCCTCTCTATCCCCTCTTGCTGAGGATACTAATGCATTTGAAGTTTTTCCTCCTCTAGTGTGGCATAAATTTCTTCAGAGTAGTCATGGGCGTGGTTGCCCTAAATGCCCTTTTTTACCAAAGTTATTATGGAGGGGGGAGTTACGTTCCCTCTCTATCCCCTCTTGCTGAGGATACTAATGCATTTGAAGTTTTTCCTCCTCTAGTGTGGCATAAATTTCTTCAGAGTAGTCATGGGCGTGGTTGCCCTAAATGCTCGACTGGGGGTAAACTTGGGGGTAGATGAAATCTTGTTCTGCTATGAATTAAAATTAGTCAACGGGGGTAGATACTACCTTCAGGCTCGGGATATCTCCATGTATCTAGTGACACACATGTCGAATTCGGATAAGGGACATGTGTAGGATCTAATCATGCTCGGCGGCAATTGGGAGAAAGGAGATGGACCCGAGTATGATGAATTATACTGCCCCAAAGTGCCGAGAGGTCCAAGTGTGTATTGCACATATTTTGAAACTATTCGGCTCTTATTATCGTTTCTGACCTCATTGCTGGTTTTTTCTTATAGATTCTTACAGAAGGATACAAGGCCGACTCTGCTCAACCCCTGAAGTCCCAAGTCAACTTTGAGGACTTACTCAAAGTCTGGTCCCACAACACGACTGATCTTTTTGCCCGAGCAGCTCACGTATTGTTCAGCGACTACCCAACCTACACCATGTTCTCTCAGGTCCCGCCCTCGTTTGATCCTTCAATCTGGGAGGATTCAATCTGGGAGGATCACTCTTCGAAGGAAGAGGAAAAGAATCTCGAAGTCGACCCAGACAGAGACACCCAACGTACTCCATCCCCGATGAAATGTTCAACTTCGCTACCATCACTGTGAAGAGTCTAGAAATGGCTCCCAGGGCAAGGAGAGCAAGGGTTTGGAGTCTCATCTCAACATTGAATGATTTACACTCTTATCCATGCGTAATAAGTGTTCTCTACTCAAATTCTTGAGACTGATTCACTCGGGCAATAAGTTGACTGCTTGGGGCATGCCGAGACTCATGATCTTATCCCCGGTTATTTAAGTCCATATGATCAGCACTTAACACCTACTCTCGAGTGTTTAATACTAGGAGAACAGTGCCTCAAGGGGTTCCCAAGAACATCTGGTCGACGCAATGATCATTAATACTTCGCAATTATGACTATCAATTTGAGTTTCGAGAATGCAAAGAGTCATTAATGTCTTTGTCAATCACTCAAGTCTTCATTAATGGGCTGTCATATTTCCTTAAATACTGGTCCCAACCTGCGTACTCAACTCATCCGAGCCATTACTTCTCGATACCATCCCACCGTGCCTTTCGAGTTCCATTACGGCTATAACTATCCACGTGTCAATTTGAAAACTGTTGAGCCGCCTAAAATCCCGTCCAATACTGCAATATAATAGTAAATACCAGAGCTTAGGGTATATAATTTTGGGGCCTTATGTTACTGCACGAAAAGTTCAGGGATTTCATATAATTAGGAAAGAATCGAGAGATCAGTGTAATTAGTTTAGGTTCAGTTACAACACAAACTGAATGGCAGTAGTCACAGTATAGTCCAATACTGAAACAAGAGAATTTTTTTTTTTTTTTTTTGTGGGGGTACACCGGAGATGTGGATAACACCAAGAGGTGCCTACCCTGCTACTGCAGAATATTCTGAGTCAAACCCAAGTTGGGAACCAAGGGAAGGAAGGATAGAAACTCGAACCGAGATTCAAAACTCGGTAGAGGCAACTCTTGCCGAGTAAGTCTAGGCCTGCTTCTGAAACAACTCATTCATAAAGACAAAAACCAACTATCTCAGCTCAAATACGAAAGTGCGCATCCACCCAGAACAAGAAATTACACAGCACAAGGTGGACACACACCTACAAACACACACACATAGATCATCCACATGAACTCCAGATTAACTGAAGAGTATAACAGAGGCAAAGAACCTACACATTCAAGTAAAGGTATTAGCATCCAAAAACTAGCATCAGACATTTACTCAGACACAGGCTATTGTCGATAACAGAAATGAAAGCTAAATTCCAAAACACAATCATACATGCCTTCCAATCAAAACATGATCCATTAGGGCACCATACTTTTCCTTTACATTGGAAAGCAAATCTTAGAGAAGTGGACAGCCCCACTCCCCCCACTCATTCCCAGCCCACCGGCATAGAAAGAAATAAAGAAAGGGCTTGACCAACAATTAGTAGTTGACAATCGATAGAAATGTTTACAAATCAAGAGATTCATAATGAGTTGGAAATTAATGCTTTTAAAAACAATCAAACCCTTTACACAATGCATTTGCCCAATGCAGCTTTGTACCTTTTTCTAGATCTCAAGAGTCTCCCCTTACGATCAGAAAAACAAAACTGTCCTGCAAAAGACATCATCCTCTCAATATATTATCTAATATCTAGTTCTAGCTGCAGCAATCCTAACATGTGTAAGATTTTGGCAGGACTAGAAATAAAAACAAGTTTCCACCATCAAATGTATTCTAAAACCTAGTTTACATTGTTTCTTCAGATTGCAGAAACTACCAAGGCCTCCTTCCACCAAGAGGAACAGTGTTAGATCCTGAAATCGACCTGTTGCCAAAACCTCCCCTTCCTCTGGAGCGGAAGTTGCCCCCAGAAGCTGATAAAGAACAAAGACAAAATATTGCTCAGTTAAGCACACATCCTCTTCTCAAAATGCGAAGAATTCAACAATGATTACCTCCAAGGCCATAACCACTTGACCGGGCCAACGCAGACAATGCAGGAGGAACAATTTGCCCTGCTTCTTGCAGAATTTTAATGAGAGCTCTAGCATACTTAGCATTTGCATGGGTGAAAAACGTGAAGGCAGTTCCCTTAGCTCCTGCACGACCAGTTCGGCCAATCCTATGGACATAATCCTCAAGACTTGATGGAAAATCATAATTGATCACGCATTTTATATCCTTCACATCTACATCCACAAAACACAGATTATATTAAATGAATAAAATATATCAAAACATAAGAGGAAAAATGCAATGGCAACCTTATCCCGGCACTCATAAGATCCAAGTGATCAAATATAAGATAACACATTCATCACATAAATGTGCCCACCTTAACCTTGCAGGGATAAGGAGCAGCTCCGCCACCACAACTTCCCAATCCAAATAACCAATCAATAACTAAGCCTGTATGAGTCAACCGGGCTGTCCCGACAACCAGCTCCATAACCGTGGATGGGCATCAATAACTTCAGCCATGTTACTTGGACACAACATTCAGAAAAGTCAAGAAGTGGATAACTCAACCTAGCTCAACAAAGCCTTTAGCCCAACTATTTAGGATCACGCACATAAATCCTGCTTCTCCATTGTTCTCCATCAGGGGGCCATATTTGTTGTCAAACTGTCAGCCATCATATCTTTCTTTCCTATTTCGTTCCATTATAATTTAAGTCTACATCTACCTCGTGTTACAATTGCATGCATCAAATCATTCTTCGTTGCTGGTGCATTTCCAAGTCTTCAATAAAGATGTTCAAACCACTTAGGTCGCTTCTCTCTTAATTTATCTCCTATCGGTTCGACTTCTAGTGTCACAATTACAGTCATTTATAATTCTATTTTTCTTGTTTTACCACACATCCATCTTAGTATTCTCATTTCTACATCAGTTAGTTTTTGGAACATGATTCTTAATTGCCCAACATTTTATACTGTAAAACATTGCTAGTCAAATAACTACCTTATAAAACTTACCTTCAACCTAATGGGCATCTCACCAAAAAAAAAAAAACTAATGGGCATCTGACCCAAAAAAAAACCTAATGGGCATATATCGATCACATAGCACACAGCAGATGCATTCATTCATTTAACTCATCCTACTTTAAATCTATTAGTAAACTCGTCTCCAATCTCCCCCTTCCCATGGATAATTGACTCAAAATACCAAAAATGTTTGCTCGTTGACCTCTCATGATCTTCAATATTTACTACCCCAAAAAAGTCAACTATCTAAGTTTTGTGTTCCACATTTATAAGCTAAAAGCTCATGCAACAAATATTACCTATACATAAACCAAGACATAATAACGGAAAAATGGAAAAGGCAAAAACAAGAAAAAAAAAATCCACAACCTATGGTTTGCCTGGCCCTGCACAATATGACAGCAAACATTCATCAAAATCCCGTGACACTATCCTAGCTAAATCTCTAAAACTATGCTCCTTGTATCCTAACATAAGAAGTTGGTTTCATGAAAAAGATGTATTGTAAGGAGATACTAAGTGAAAATCTTTTCATTTCCTTTTGTTTCTTAAGCCAAATGATAGTTCATAATCTTTGAATCCTGGCCTTCACCCAGAGTAGCCTTCCAGATCACCACTAGGCCAAGACACCAGTTTTAAGTATTAATGAGAAACCCAAATTGCCTCTCAATCCAGCCTGTGAATCTTATGTAAAAGGCTTATCCTCATTAGCAAACCAAAACATTAGCAGTTGATACTTGATAGCCTCAAGACATGGCCGCATCCCTCCTTGCACCCAAACCACAAATTATATTCCCAGGAAAGTGGACAGCAGCCGGCCGACTCGCACCTATGTTTGAATTTTAAGACCTAAATGAACCTAAGTCCTAACACACAATCATCCTACCAAGACCACGTGCCGCAACATCAGTGGCAGTCATTATAGAACTCCTGCCACTTTTAAACTCAGCCAGGACCCAATCCCTTTCATCTTGGCTTTTATCACCATGGATGGATAAAGCTGGCCACCCATCCATTCTCAGCTGTGTTGTGACTTGATCGCATCCCTTTTTTGTCTCCAAAAATATTAAAATCCGGCTTCCATCCATCAGTTCTTTGAGAAGTCTGATCAACCTGCAGATTGCAGTAAGAACTCAAAATTATCAGAGGCAAAAGTAAACATTTTTGCACAACTAGTCACCAAAATCACACCTGTTGTACTTCTCCACCTCTGTCATTATTTCAACAATTTGGTTTATAGACTGGTTTGCTTTCAGATCAGGGGACCCAATGAGTACCTAAAAGACCAAAAAAAATTGAAGATCAATCAATAAGCATTGATGTATCTAAATATAGTGCGTAGCATGTATAATAGGAAAAGATTTAAAATAGAGACCTTATATGGATTGCGCAAAAACTGCCTAGCTAGAGTCTCCACCTCTCTTGGCCATGTGGCACTCCAGTACAATGTCTGTCTATCTGGTCGGATCTATATTTGAAAATACTTCAAAAATTTACCACCAAAACTCATTCTTTTTAACTGGACTTCATCATGACATGGAAGTATACTAAGTAGATAAAAATAAAAAATGTAAGATTATTAATTATAACATAACAAAAATTATTCATTCATGAATTAGATTAATTGAACATCACATGCAGGAAGAAAATACCTAAATCATATAAAAAATGCATTGTCATATCAGTCACACATCCAATAGACTGTGTGAATATCAACTTCAGTTTCATCTAACTGTTACATTACGGATCATAAAATAGGCACACAACTTGAGTGCATTCATTCTGTCATATAACGGCCATCATGGACACAGCCAACTTTGCACCATGATGCCAAGAAGTAATGAACCATATCACAACTCACAAGTGAGAGACCTTCACCGAGGGGTAACAAAAATATACCCAGGTAATGAGAGCTTATCAAATGTATTTTGAAATTGAGAAGGAACTTCAGACCAGTGGTTCTGATGCTCATATGCATGTTCATGGAGAACTGGTCCATCTTACTAGAGATGTACTCAGACTATGAAAAGTAATCTCTATTATTAACCAAAGCTTTCTAAATAAATCTCAGGTAGTAACAAAAAATTGGACAAAAAGAGTGGTATAATTTGAGTGGCACAAGACAAGTTGATCAAGACTCAGATTCATCCACCTGATGGTCTGGCAAAATAAGGAGTAATGTGCAGCAGCCAACATTCAGTTCAAGCATCACAGCAGCTGTCATACACTTCCGGGGCATAATAAAGAGTTGACTTATTTGTGATGCACGCACATGTTAAAGCTAAAGATAATTTAAGATCTAATAATCTGATGATCAAGTAGGATGCCAAGAAAAACAAAATACTAGTGTCCATACTTTTGAGAGAATTGACTCCATACTGTACCTGAGTTTTATTAAGGAATCACAATTACAAATTAAAAGTAACGTGTTATTCCCAATGATAAGCAATGGAGTGTCCATGTGTTAACATCCAATAGGTGAATAAGAAGTCCAAATAATAGACACGCTATTCAACATCGCTAGATGAAACTCTTTCAAGACACACATACACACTCACAGAAACGAAAACAATTACACATCATATATTACAAATGCCAAGGATGACACACAATCATACTCAACTTATAGACCATACACACTCCTGAAACAGGTGTAAACCAAAGTCCATGCAAAAATATTATTAGAGCATGGAAGGCTATGATTTCCAAAATGCAGTTCTCTGACGCAGTTAGAATCACATCATGAAAAAGAGGGAGTGATAGAATTCATACTTGGGCAACAATTTTGCGGATTTGAGGCTCAAACCCCATATCCAACATTCGATCAGCCTCATCCAACACAAGATAAGTCACTCTTTTCAAGTTTGTGCGCTGAGCTTCCAACATATCTATCAATCGCCCAGGAGTAGCTATAACAATTTCAACACCTGCCATGAAAGAAAGTTAATTTGTAAGCTTCACATGAATGGATTCACATCCAGCTGAAGAAATTATCCAAAGGGAAATGCAAGTACCTCTTTGAAGATCACGAATCTGTGGTCCTTTTGGGGCACCGCCATAAATGCAAGTACTCCTTATATTCGCACGAGATCCAAATTTCAGAGTTTCTTCTTGAATCTGAACTGCCAATTCTCTGGTAGGTGCCAATACTAGCACAATAGGACCTTCACCTTGTACTGTATTATTAACAATAAGGAGACAACTTATAAGACTACTTGAAGATAAAAACGATGGCAATCCATACAGAACTGTAAAACAATACTTACGCAGACGAGGCTGTGCACTGACATGAATCAAAGCAGGAAGCAAATAAGCCAGCGTCTTTCCAGAACCAGTCTCAGCAATGCCAATTACGTCCCTACCCTTTAAAGCCATCGGCCACCCTTGAGATTGGATTGGTGTTGGCTCAACAAAACCCAATCTGGCAATGACCTCAAGGCAAAAATCTACCAAACCATACAAAATCAACCAACTTATTAGTAACATGATACCTTGAGTGCTATAGCTAAAATGCTCAATTAATGTTATGCATCCCAAAATATACCAGGAAAATTTGCTTCTTGGAACATCCGAATGGGCTTTGGGACATCATGGCCTTCGGTGGTGATCTCTCGTCTTGCACGATAAAGAGCAACATCTTGATCAGTCATTGCCCTCACCGAAGGACATTCAACGTAAAAGTTCTTCTCGAATGGGACCAAATTACCAAAATCTTGCTTGGGAAGAGCAATATTGTCCAAGTCCCCTCTCGATCCACCATGTCTACCTCCTTTGCCGCCACCGCCACGGCCTCCATTAAAACCCCTTCCTCCACCACCACGCCCACTGCTAAAACCACTAACCCCACCTCGGCCTGCGTCAAAACTCCTATTACCAGCACGGCCTCCATCAAAGTTCTTACCACCACTCCAATTTCCATCAAAACCCCTACCCCCAACACCGGTTCTACCTCCACCACGACTAGCATCGAATCCCCTCCCCGTACTGCCACCTCTCCCAATTTCACGACCCCTTCCACCACCACTGCCCTGATAACTACCACTTCTCCGATCCACAATACCACCATTAGCCATTCTGCCACCAGCACCTCTACCGCCACTAAACCCTCTTTCTCTTCCTCCTCCTCCTCTGCCAATATCAAAACCTCTTCCAACCTCAGGCTCAAAAGGCGGGTACCCACCAAATCCTCTACCACCAGGAACAGATCCAACACCACCTCCGTGCTCTCTTCCACCACCCACCACAGGTGGGGTCCCCACTGGAGGACCCCCAAATGGAGCCGGTCTACCACGGCCAAAGCTCTGAGGTGGCCCACCCATCACAGGCCGCGCTGCCGGAGGCGGTGGCCCCGTTAGATCACTAAAATTACAAAAATTCGGTAAATCATAAAAACTTCTTACACGAAAGCACATAAACGACAATACAAATACACATAAAACATGATCAACCATTATAAGATCCAAAATTCACCACCCAAATACACGTATTTGCGTACACATACAAGCCTGTATAAAGGTAGCGTCCTATAAATGTAAACATGGAAAGAGAAGATAGATCTGAAAGAGCGTGAGCGCGTGCGTGTGTGTGTGTGTGTGAGAGAGAGAGAGAGAGAGAAGAGAAGGGCGTTTTGGGGTACCTTCGACGTTGACGGTAGGAGCCGACGTCGTCGTATCTGGAGTCGTAAGGGTTCAACATGATCACTACAGAGATGGGTCGGGTGCTCTCTGGCGGAACGAAAGAAGAAGAGATTTGGCAGTGCAACAGCTAGGGTTAGGGTTTGAAAACAGAGCCAGGAATTGCAGATTTGGAAGGGAGAGAGAGCTGAAAGTTAAAAATCGTTTCTTTCTATTTTGTAGCGAAACAATATCTTTGGACAAATTACTCTTTTTACCCCTAAATTATGGACTAATTGTACTATAACAAAATTTGATACCTTATCGAAAGTTATCGTTTTTTAAGGACAAACTACACATTTTAAAAGCGAAATCACAGCTCTTTAAAGTATTTTATCATCGTTTATTAATAAACTCTAATCAATTACATGTCTATTGAATGTTGGGTAATTTTATTTTATCAAAACAACAAAAAAAATTAGTATTGTACCGAAAATTATTACTTTTCATATTAAAATTATAATTTTTAAAAATGAAATTACAAATAATTGAGACAATTTATGATCGATTATAAAATATTCTTATTGATCATAAATTATTATAATCAATTATAACTACTTCTTTCCTCTTTATTATGTTATAATTTAATTTTTAAAAGGTATAAACTTTTATGATTGATCATAAAATTATAGAATTAATCATACTTTTAACAATTATAATTTATACCTAAAAAAATTATAACTTAATTTTAAAAAATTATAAATTTTAGTATGATACCATCCGGTGAGCAAGCTCTTTAATCTCTTTCGTGGTGCCCAATCTTGCATCACTTCCAATTTTTTTTATAAAAAGAAGAATGTAAATTTTTTTATAAAAAGAACAATTAGGGTGAAGATTGCATTAATAGGAGTGAGACTTGATAAATAGGGTTGACAATGGAGTTGAACTATTTGGGCTCAACTCAATAAATTCGACTCGAACTTTTAAAGTTTGACCCGATTATTATCAGTTTTATTAAATGATAAAATTGATTGGAAATGGAGAAACTTAAACAAAATTAACGAATTTTATTATTAAATGTCCAAAATCAATTCTGACGACATAGTGGCCATTGGGTCCAAATGTACCACAGCAGACAAGAATGGGCGGTTTGGGGTTTTGTTTGGGCCTCCCCTTCAAACAGGGAGTAGCACCTGCCAGGCCACTGGGCCTCATAGGGCCCACAACTTCTGAAAACGCCACGTTGCAACCCCATGAGAATCGGAGCCACTAATTCCAACTTCGCTGGCCCACTTTTCTGTTACTTTACTTAAATCCAATTCCAAACGCATCCCTATAAAACAACAGAATCGTCATGGCGGTTCCTTCCTCAAACCCCTTACCCTTTCGTCGTCGTTTCCTAATCCACCACTCTCTCTTTCTCTCTCTCTCTCTCTCTCTCTCTATATATATATATAGTCACTATAAAACCCTGGCGAGGCTTGAAGGTGCTACCAAATTCCAAAGCATCTCTCTCTCTCTCTCTCTCTCTCTCTCTCCCACCGAACTGTCCTCGTTTAGTTTGTCGAATCATGACTGGTACCTTGGGTTCGAACAAGAAGACGAATAAAATCAAGTTTCTCTACAGTTACGGAGGTAAAATTGTTCCTCGTAGGGTCGACGGCAAGCTCCGGTACCTCGGTGGACATACCAGAGTCGTCGCTGTAGATCGTTCGGTCACATTCGCAGGTGAGTTGGCTTGAATGGTTTACACTTATTGATTCTCACCTTTTCGTGTAGTATGAATCTAGGGTTTTAAATTTTGAGGAATTGAATTATTTTGATGTCGGCACAGAGCTGATGGTCAAGTTTGGAGAGTTGTGTGGATCGTCCATGAGTTTGAGATGTAAATTGCCGACTGAAGATCTCGACTTCCTTGTCTCTGTTGCCTCCGATGAGGACCTCTCTAATGTCATCCAAGAATACGATCGAGTCTCGTCGTCTACGGCTGACAAGTCGGAGATGAAGGTCAGAGCGGTACTTTTTCCGATCAAACCGCTCAAAAAAGAATTTTCTCTTCCGTCAATTGTTTCGTCTAGTTCCTCCACTTCTTCTGCATCACCATCGCCGCCGTGTGGAGTTCCCGGATTCTATTCTCCCCCTCCCCCTCAGCACAATCGTTCCGGCTGCCGATTTTCCTCTCCGGCAGTTAGATTCCGTGTCGGTGATCAGAAAGACGGCGGGAAAGTTCAGCGGTGTTACTCTCGTTGCTGTCATTGCGAACGGAGGAGTCCTAGGCGTATGTACGTTGTTCCTCCATGGAATCACAGTCACTAGAGTGAGGATTTTTTATTTTTTTTTGGTGCTGTAAAATGGATAAACATATAGGTCCTTTCATATATCTGTCAAACATCCGTTCTTCAGCACTACAACTATCTGCAAAGTGGACTCCATCGCACTGGGCTGAAGATAAGGTCTCGTCGCTTGCTCCAGACCTTAAAGAGTAGATTTAGTCTCTAAAGAGTCATCGTAGTTATCAAGATTTAGAACGAGAAAATTTGAGTTTATACCCGAGACCAACAGGTCGTTGGTGGGTGAGGATATTCTACTGTTGAATATTTATATTTTATAATAAATAACGTTATTTTAATAAACAACACATCTACTGTTAAAAAATAGAAAAATAGAGGAGTTGGACCTCACTGCCCTAAGCTGAAAAACCTGTCTACATATGTGAGTAATGTTACATAATTTAAATAAAATTTAAAAAATTATAATCAACTTGTGTATCATCTGAATGAGTTTTATCAATTTGTATAGTAAAATTCATCCAACAATCATTTAAGAGATGATTTGTATTTAAATTATAATTTTTGGGTTTTATTTAAAGAGTAATGGTAGATGGATTTAAAAATTAAATTTAATAATTTCAAGTAGGTCTCAATAAATATTAAGACTACAATAAAATTAATAATTGAGATTATCAAGTTTAATTTTTAAATTTATTTTTTAAATTCATATAGCATTCCTCAGCTCCAAATCCTCTGCTCTTCTCTGCCATCTTTATTCGGAGGAGGTCGCACTCCGTGAAAAACAATAAGCCCAGCGCAAAGCAATTCAACTTTAAAACCCTTTCGGAAAAAGTGCTTCAACCAACTTAATCTATTATATACTTAAAATAGTCACAAAGTCAAAGGGTTCCGTGATTTTTTCGAAAAGGTTCCGTTGAGATGAGATGTAGGTCATCTCACGTGATAGACAATGCCAAGATATTGGAAGTGTTTTTTAATAAATAATTTCGGATCTATAGTGCTACAATTTTACAATAAAAAAAATTATCAATTTTACAAGTGATTTATCACTTTTGTGAGCGCATTTACTATTTTTTGAACATTTTTATCACTATTGTGGTAATTATTTTTTTTTTTTTTTGGTATTTTTATCATTTTTAAGTATTTTTATCATTGTTGTGATAATTATTTTTTATTACTTGTGTGTGTATTTTTACTATTTTTAAAAATATTTTTATCACTATTGTAGTAACTACTTTTATCACATTTTTATTTTGTGATTTATCACATTTGTGAGTGTTTTTATCAATATTATCAGAATCGGACCTGTCATCGAACCGGTAAGGAGACCGGGTCAATGATTCACTAGTTCAATCATTCGGTCAACTGATCGCACCGATCATATAATAAAAAAATAAAAAAAATTATATAATAATTATAAAACTTAATAATTTAGCTAAAAAATATAAAAAAAATTAATAAAATTAAGTAACAAAGTGGAGATTATTGTATTTTAAAGCAAAGTAAAGAGATTCAAGTAAATTATAAAGAAAAAAAAAAAAGGATGTCATTTATAATTTATCCAAGAATGAGGTTAAAAAAAATCAGTTATTTATTGATTTAGGACAAAAAAAATTATTTATGTAATTTAATTTTTAAATAGGCATTAAACTGTCTAGTTTTTATAAAACCGCCGGTTCACGATTTTTTGTTAAAAATCTGCCGATTTTCTGATTTTTAGTCAATTCGCTTTCTTAAGCGGTTCAATTAAGAAACCGGAGCGGTTAGGGTCCCAATTCATGGTTGAACCGGTCCGATCCAGTTCTGATAACACTGGTTTTTATCGCAGTTGTGATAATTATTTTTGTCACTTTTTTTGATATCATAATAATTATAAAAAACACTCACAAATATTATAAATGTCGATAAAAAAATTTGGCACACATTTTAATGTTAACATGGTTTACTTACTTATGCAGGAGAAGAAAAGTTTAGACTTTGGATGCTCGTGGATTCCATGCTTGGTGGCCTGGAATGACCAAGATTTTTAAAAATCATTCTTATAGTTAAAATTATACATAAATTGAATCTCGAACAATTAAGTGATGACAAAAACAACTGAGTGGTGACGACTGTTCATTTATATTAAAGAATACATCGAGAATTTGAGTATAAAAATTAGAAATATAGTGAGGTTGCTTATTTTTATGTTTTTTGTTTTGGTACTGCATAATCTTTTATACACTAGGTACTATATTTTTACTTTAATACAAATACTATTCTACTATCTAAATTATATTGGACACAACAAGGAGGGGGAGATATTGGTCAAGTTAGCCTTGGGGGAAGAGGAATTAGAAGATTGATGGCCGTGGTGTGTTGAACATGTGTAGCAAATAATAAATAGTGGTGGGTATTTGAAAAATCCCAGGAACGGAATCTTTCTTTTTAAGGCATTTATATAATTGGTTGATGTACACGTGTGTTGCACTTAAATCATTAAGAGAGTGAACTATTATGTACTGAATCTGTAACATATTTTGAGTATTAATCAACTTCATAGCCCACATTGGCAGCAAACCAACTCAGTTGAGTCAATTTTCACTTGTGAATCAAGTTCACTTTTGAAGAGCATACATTCTATAGTTTCATTTTAATTTCAATGTATTTGACATGAGAGTTGCGGTGAGCATTTTAAGTACATGTTCATGCATTTACCAAAAAAGTTTAATCTTAGGAAGTGCACTAAATTTTCAAATATAAAAAGGCCATGGGTTTTATAAAAACTAGTTGAAAGTTGCTTCCTTATGCTCTTCTTGCCATTGTGTTCTGGAAAAAATGATATCGAAACTTGACTGATAATAGTCTGTCATAATATAACACTTTGATATCTTCCTCTTGTCGCTTGGCAAGTGGAATGGAAAAAATGACTGTTTTCTCT